GAGAGGAGAGGAGAGGGGGAGAGGGGGGAGGAGAGGGGAGAGAGAGCAGAGAGAGAAGAGGGAGGGGAGAGGAGAGAGTGGAGGAGAGGACAAACAGAGGATGAGAGAGAAGAGAGAGGAGAGAGAGAGAAGAGGAGAGAAATGAGAGAGAGAGAGAGAGGAAGCCGAAGAGAGATGAGAGGGGATGGAAGAGACTAGAACGCAAAAGGAAGAGAGAGGGGGGAGTTAGGAGAGAGAGAGAGAGTGATGATGAGAGAGAGATGCGATAGAAGACGAGAAGAGAGAGAGAGAGAGAGAGATGAGAGTTGAGAGAGAAGAGAAGAGAGAGAGAGGAAATAGAGAACGCAAAAGAAGAAAGAGAAAAAAGATAGATAGAAGAGACAGAGAGAGAATTCCTTCCCCTTTTCCCCTTCCTTGGCCGTCTTCGTAAGGGCAAAGACCGCTTGCTCGACCACAGGAACCTCGCCCTTACGCCCCTCGCCGTGGATTATTTTAATCTTTGCTCCCTCCACCCCCTCTCCCTCTTCCCCCCACCCCGCCCTTCTCCCCCCCCACCCCGCCCGCTTCTCCCCCACCCACCACGCCCCATCTCCCCCACCCCACCCCGCCCCTTCTCCCCCCTACCCCCACCAACGCCCCCCTCCTCCCCCCATCCCCCGCCCCTTCTCCCCCCCCACCACCGCCCCATCTCCCCCACCCCGCCCCCCATTCTCCCCGCCCGATATATATATCCCGGTCGGAAATATCTCCGAGACGAAAAATTATCGTTTTTTATCTTCTGTCACTCGGGAATTTAGGGAATTCCGCCCCCCGTGAAAAGAGTTTTGTAGAGAAATAAAGACTGATAACAGGAGATAATAAACGGAATAAGGGTTTTATTTGACTCGGAATAATGATACGGAATCTCACAGCAAAATAGGAGAATGTAGATGTAAAAAAATAAATAGATAATAAAAATAAAATCTCACATCCAAAAGTAAAAAAAAAAAATGTAGAATGTAGATGTAAAAAATAAATAGATAATAAAAAAATAATAAATAAATCTCACATAGAAAAAAAGTAGAATATAGATGTTAAAAAATAAATTAAATAAAAACAAATAAAATGAATATGATGAAAATTTTAAATACATATATATATATAATATATATATATATATATATATTATATTATTATTATATTATATATATAATATATATTATATATTATTTATATTATAATATATATATTATATATATATATATAATATATATATAATATATATTATATATATATTATAATACATTATATATATATATATATACATAGGCAACGTAATTAAATGATCGATGATAGTATAGCAATATTCTATCTAATGCGAATGCTTATCATATAAATATTATCTTTCTTAATAGTTACAAAAAAGTAAAATAGAACGGCACAGAATATCATCACTATAACGCCAATCATACAACATCCCCAAAAATAACAATATCCCAAAAAACGAGAATGTGTAAAATAATAATAAAAAATAAGAAAAAAAAAAAATACAATTTCATCCCCCCCCCAAAAAAAAATGCAAATATCCAGAAAATTTAAAATAAAAACGGTTATATCCCTAAAATATTATAATGTGAATAGAAAATGACAAATATCTAAAGAAAAACATATCAATATCCAAAAAGCATAATATCTAAAAAGGGAAAGAATTATAAACTATGGGAATTATAAACTAAACAAAATGAATAAATAAACAAACAAAAATAAACAAAGGTAGAAATAAGAAATAAAAACAAAAAACAAAAACATTGCAACGCAAGACAAATATGAAATGAATAATATTTAATAAAAAAAAAATAAGAGTTTGAGAGAAATGTCAATGAAGTGGCAGAGGAAGATTTGAAAAAACAAAAACAAAAAAGGTAAATAAGAAATAAAGATGATCTTAACGAAGAATAAAAATAGCGTTTTCAACAGATCATAATTCTTATAATAAGAGAGATAAAAGAAATATTACTTTATATAAAAGAAAATATTACTAATAATATCTTCCACAATCATATATCAATTAACTTTATATCAGTACTCCCTATAATCTATTGATTAATAACCTGAACAACAATTTTATAAACTAACGAACTTAAATATATCAATTAATAGTAATTAATGGTTGTCATCTTTACCAGAGTCATTATCGTGATAATAACAATAATGATGATGCCAATAATGATTGCAGATACTAATCTAAAAATGATAATTAAAAATAAGAAGACGGATGATGATTGAGGAAAATGATTTTATAAACCATGTAATAAAGTAAAAATTAAAATGAAAAAATTTCATAGCAACAAAAATCGCTAGCAATATTATGTTAATTATGTTAACATGATAATTTTTCTTACGATTCAGAATAAAAGACAAAACGATGAAATGAAAAAAATGACAATAAAAAATGTAATGACAGCAACACCCCGACTGCCAAAAACAACAAAAACGAAGAACAGAAAATTAACTGAAAATAACAATATAATGACTGGTAATAACAAACAACAACAACAAAAAAATCAATAATGAGAGCCATGGTAGAAGACAGACAGACAGACTGATAGCTAAATGAACTGAGACGTGAATGGGTATGATCTCTAGGCTAAAAAAAAAATTCAAAATTATTATTTATTATTATTATTATTATTATTACTAAATTTTCTTTTTTAAAAGGTCACTTACGAGGATTATTATTATCATTTTTAATCTTACTTAATTCTGTTTATATAATATCATCAATCCTGTAGATTTATTAGTTGAAATCGAAGAAATCACACCACCCATACACACACACCACACACACACACACACAACAGAGAAGGAAACACTAAGAAAAACTGAAAGTATATACACTTACAAAAAACACACGCACACAAAAAATAACCACTTACAAACACACACAATATAATACACACACACAAAAAATACACACATTACACAGCACAACATAATAAAAATACACACACACACACAACACACACACACTACACACACACACACACACACACCACACACACACACACACAACACACACCACACAAAACACACACACAGAGGAAACACTAAGAAAAACTGAAAGTACATCACACACCTTACACAACACAAAATACCAGACACACACAAAATATACACACTTACAAACACACACCACAACACACACACAAAATATACACCACTTACAAACACACACACACAAAGAATATACACACTTAAACACACACACACACACACACACAACACACACAACACACACACACACACACACACACACACAACACACACCACACACACACACACACACACAGCCACATACATAGAGGCAAACACCCAATCACACAGGACAGACAAGAGAAATGCCAGAGTTCACAAACCCACTTAAGAGGATCACAGACTACCAAGACATCAAGAAATGCAAAAAAAACCTCTGTACTTCTCAAGACATGATGCAGTGTTACCACGTCAAAAAACAAGGCCTCAGGTAAATTTTTTTTCTCTCTCCAACTTGGCAACACTTCCACCAACTCCAAAATCCACTTTGGTATCCATTTCATCCACAAAAAAGATATTTCAATTTTGTTTTCTTTTGAGAAATGATAAAATAAAGAAAACGAAAGTACTAATAAGGAAAAGTTTCATAATTTTTAGCAGGTATTTTTTTTCTCGAAAAGAAAAGAAAAGAAAGGAAAGGAAGGAAAAGAAAAACACGAGGCTTGGAGAAACAAAAAAGAAAAAAAAGAAAAAAGAAAAAGAAAAAAAAAACACAACTTAGATTTATTTTTTTTTACAAAAAGAATAAAAGAAGGTTTATAAATGACGAAATTTTGATGATAATTTCGTAAAAAGAAAAGAAAGAAAGAAAGAAAAAAAACAATAAAATGATATTCTCCCTGAAATTCAGCTCATTGTGGACACGAGAAATAATATATAAATAAAAAAAATAAGTAACGATCTGTATCCGCTGAAAACAAACAAACAAAAACAATAAAAAAAAAGAAAGAGAAAAAAAAAATACCAATTCAAAAACCAGAACCAAAACAAAACAAAAATCAACAACGAATTTCATTTTTTTTTTTCTCAGTCAAAAAATTTTCTTTTTTTCTTTCAATTTTTTTTTTCCTCTTCTTTTTTTTTCCTTCTTGTTTTTACTTGAAGAGACAGAGTTGAAGAAATGGGCAAACATGCACAGAGTATGACAACAAGCTCCCAAAAAGCGTTAAGCAACACACGGAAAGTCAAGCAACCTGCAAGGCAATCAAGGTTAGGTCATCTTAGGTCATCGACAGGACACACAGAGCCACCGCTTAGGGGAGAGTGCCAGGGTCAGATGGCACTCCTTATTCACTCTCGAAAAAAACCATGGGGGTTCGTATATATATATTCATAAAATAGATGAATGAACACATGGAATCAAATGTATTGTATAAATTATTACATCTAATGAATTGACAGTCTAAACAAAATGATTGATTACAAAAGTTACTTCTGTGATTTCTGAATTCACAAAACCCTCATTTCAAGGCAAAGAATTACATGTATAAACTGAAATAAAATCAGATTGAGAGGTCATAGTACATGGTAGATACTACAAGCATTATAAGGTTACATTCAGTTACAATGTACACACACACATATATATAAATAATTGAGTAGATAATAAAAGACAGGTCAATCAATTTTACACTGGATTTCGTAAAAGGGAAAAAAAGGGGGCGTGGCTAAGGTAGGCCTATTTCCAGCCGTCCTTGCCCGCATCCCAGGCTCTCCCTGGCTCGAGGAAAGAGACACAAGGAAACTTACGTCTACGAGAAAGAGGTAAAAAAAAACAAAAAAAAAAACAGGTAGGAAAGGAAGAGAGAGAGAGAAAAATAAAAAAAACGAGAGAAACTCCTGCCAAACTTACCGATAAAGAGGAAGAAGATGAGCAACCCGAGCTCTCTCATTGATGCCTTGAGCGTTCTTCCCAGGATCTGGAGGCC